CCCAGCATTCATATGTTGGAACCTCATCCCCAATGTGGTGGCACATGCAGGTGGGAACGGGGGGTGCTTAGGTCAGAAGGATGGGGTCCTGATGCAGGGTTTGGCATCCTTAGTATAAGGATCCTAGAGAGCTCCCTCTCCATTTGCATTGTGAGGACACAGTCAGAAGATGGCCCTTTGTGAACCAGGAAGGGTCCCTCCTCAGACTCTGAATTAGCCAGCACCTTAACCTTGGGCTGCCCAGCCTCCAGAGCTGTGAGACACAGTCTCTGGTTTATGAACCACCCTGTCTCTGGTCATTTGTTATAGAGGCAGGGTCTACAGTCATTCTGAGCAGGCATCATGCAGGATCAGAAGCAATTCCCACTCACCTGGAAGGGACAGCAGGGCACGTAGAGAACTGTCCCAGTGCTATTTAAACTCCCCACTCTGTGTAGGTGTTCCAGCGGGAACTGCACCATCTGAACACTCCTCAGGTCACCATACTGATACATTACGTCGCTCACGTGCATTTACTGGAACGAGATGAATGAAAGGTGGGAAGTGCATCATACTCCCGGCTGAGACGAATGGACCACAGAGGTGGTGACCAGCCCTGTGAATGATCCGGGCCAGTCACACCTGGGAGGGAGTCCTCTCATCCACTAGGGATCCTCGAGCCTGTGGCCACCTAGACATCCTTAGCAAAGTCAGAGACAAAGGATTACAAATCTCCAAGTTCTCATTCCCAAAGAGGAATCACAGCATTTTTGAGGCCATTTTGTCCGGGAAGCACATTTCCTATAGCTGCTCTGACCCGTTCACCTGATAACAAAGAATGGTCTGGGCTGGACAGGCTCTGGTACAACATGCATGTGCTCTGTTCCCTCTGTGAGATGCAAGACCCCTGTCACTGGGTCCTGTGATTCATCAGATGCTGTTAGAAGATTTAACTCTGAGAGAAAATATAAAAAGAAACAAAATCAAAACACCATGTAGAGCATTAGCTCTCGAGCAGTGGACTTTCCACAGTTAGTCAATGTGGATGCACCTGGGGACAGGTGGACACTGAGCTTCTGTCCATGCGATGGTCACTGGCCACCTGCTTATGGCTCTAAAGAATTGGTTGGGTGTCTGGGGTAATCTACACTAAGACAGGAGGGTCCCAATATCCCAGCTCTGCTCCACAACCAGGACGGCTGTAGGTTGTGGACTGGAATAGAGAAGGAAGAGGGGCAGGGATGGAATTAAGCCTCCATCTCCCCAGATTCCTTCTGTGTCCTGCTCTGTAAGCGTCAGTGTCCCTTAGGGAGATCCCGGTCACACACAGTGCCCACAGCCAGCCCTCCTCTTCTGAGCCCCTATGAGGCTTGTTCCCCGCTGCTGGCTCTTCCCTGCATCCTGTAGTCAGCTCCACCGCGGTTCTCATGGTCTCTTCAGTCAGGACATCATGTGTGCCTCCTAATAGCCCGTCACCCACGGATCTGTGACCCGAACCAGTGAGGGTCACTCCAGGTCACACTGACATGGTTCCATGTAGGGATGATTCACTCTTGGGAAACACAGGAATCAGGGAAACATCTGAAGGTGAGATTTTGGACCAGAGGGAAAGGAGAGGTTCTCCCAGGGAGCAGCAGGGAGCACTGTGAGGCCACCTGGGGAGGTCTGTGTAGGACAGGTGCTCAGGTCTAGGCTGGCCTCCTCTGAGGGAGGCCCTGGATGGGGCCCTCTGCTTCCTGTTGGGGTGGGAAACCGTGTACCCTCGGGGACTGGCTGGGTCCTCTGCACATGTGTCTGCGAGGGGTCCCAGCA